TTCTAAAATGAGGATTGATGGTGAATTTATGATGTGGACAACAATTTACATAGCTCCTGATAATGTGCTTTTATAAAAGCAATATTCAGGGAGCACAGGTCTTCCTTTTTGCAGTGGCTGACATTCATCTTATCTCTGGCTGAATGTTGACCCTTGTTAACATTTTTCTGCTTTATTTCCTAAATATTTAATAATTGACCAATGACAGCTGTAACTGCTCTATTTTCCTGTTATCGAATTCAATACAGATAACACACTCTAAAGTACCACCTTTTAGTGTACTGATAAATAGTCCTGGGCAAAGTCACTGATAAGGTTTTTAAATGCTGCAACTTTAACAGCTGCATGATTTATCTATTAACATCTGCTGGAAATGATGAAAACAAGAGGTGATGTTAATTTTGCTTTTACCATGCCGTTGGGGCTCTGCAGATTTTGCACTAGTCAGTTGGTGGCTGACTGCATTCATTAGTGTATTTACAAAAAACAAACAAAAAAAGAACCTAAAAGAATGAACATCTAATAAGTAAACTCCCTCAAGTGAATTAGCTTGGGTGGTGCTTTCTATGCCACATAATGGGTAAATCGAGCAGTTAACTGATTTGTCATGATTTGCTGACCAAACGGTAGAGTAATAGAGGAAATACTGTTTGGGTTGACTACAACTTAAAATATTTTGAATGTTTAGTTAACTTTTTCCCCTTCATGCTACTAAATTGACTGTAATCAAACTTGATCTTTGAACGAAACATTTTTGTTTGGACTGAAATACCTCATTTTGCATTTATATTTTTTTTGAAGTTTGTTAAGTTTCAAATGAAACACTACCGTATTTTCAAGACAGAAAAGTCAAGCAGAACCCTTGAAGTTTCTCTTTCTTTTAAGCTGAAACAATTTGCTGGTATCTGTGCTAACAGGTCAGATGCTGTGGTTGATCTAAAACTTTTCTGGAGGAAAAATGGAAAGCCCTCTCTTTCCACTGACAGCCTTGCTGAGAGTTGTGTGTGCTGAGGATATGCATCTTATGGCATCTTATGTCTCTTGAACTCATCCTTCTAGCTCTGGATCCCTTTTGAAGAAAACTTGAATATTCATTTTAGTGAATTGCACCAGAGTTTTGTTATGCACCAGCAGGTGGTCAGTAAACTTGCTCTCAGCTTAGCACTGTGGGTGTACAGAAGAAAAGCTGAAGGGTGACCACACCATGCCAAAGGTGGCCTTGAAGGCCCTCACTGCAGTGGGGGAAGAGCAGTGCTCCTGCTCAGAGAAGGCATTTGAGATCTCTCACGCTTTCTAGTTCTTCATCAGAACAAACGTATTAACTTCCAAGCTGTTGTGAAAATGAAGGCTTCGCTGGCCCCAGCGTGCTTGGTGGTGGAGACCTCTCTGGCTCCTCTCCGTGCCTCTGGCTGGTGCAGCCTCTGGTCCCAGTCGGGTCTTGGATTGACTGTTGATATTGCCATTTAATGTGTTCCCCAGCTTCCTTTCCAAACAGACCAGAGGGCTTGGGGAGGATCTCTGGGCACACCGAGAGCGGAGCACTGGAAATGGTGCTGAGCTCCCCTGTTCAGACATAGCCTGTATGTACTTAAGTTCTGCTTGTTCAGGCATCGTCTCACAGAGCTGCAGTTCAGGGAAACTGCTGTTATCTCTTTTTTTTATCTGGGTACTTTCCTTGACTTAAAGCAAGGTCACGTCCCCCATTTATGTCTGGGAAAGTCTTATACTTCAGCTCTCTTCTTGTGTGTTTGTTTTGGATAAAGCATAAGTCTGCAACAAGTGGCCTCTTACAGCATGGGAAACCTGCAGGGTTTTGCAAGCAGTGCGTCTAAGGGAGCTGGGCTGCTCGGTTTTGCCTCTACTGATTTCGTCTTTATCTGGTGCAGGCTGTCTGAGGAAACAGGCTACAGGCATGTCCGTAGTCCTTCCTATGTAGGCACACCTCTCCTTCAGCTAAACGTCCTACAGTAATCTGAGTAGCCTAGATCAGTTACTGCAGAAAGGACTCCCTCCTGAGCACCGATCCTAAGGAACTCCTTGGAGTTTGGGGCTGAGTGGCGTTACAAAAGTTTCCTATCGCTTTTGTGACTGCGGTTTAGGTTCCTCCAGATGCAAAGAAACGGGCGGCAGTGGAGGAAGACCCTCTTCCTAGAGTTGGAGGGGGGCCTTGCTGCTCTACAAGCGTCTCACCTGCAGCAGCGACAGAAAGCAGATGGCTTGCATATGTGAAGGACTCCATTTAATTTGCCTTCGCTTTGTGTTTTGCATGCTGGAATGTTTTTGCAGCAAACACTTTGGAAATACTTGGAGTGAGAAGACTCTGTAGATTCAGCTTACTTGATTTTTGTGTCCAGCATGAGTGAGTAAAGCCTGTAACTCCATCAGAAGGTCACAAGGGTTGTTAAAAACCTTTAGGAATGGAGCTTGCATGGCTTTGAAATTGGAATTGGAGCCCATGAGTGTAAAACATGCCAGGCTTCCACATCTGGCAATGCAGATCATGTCCATAATCTGTTATTTTATCTGCTGCTTCTCAGGACATTTAGTCCCAGTAAGCAGAATTGCATAACTCGGGGGAAAGATCAGGTTTTGCCCTTTTAAAATCTTCATCTCTGTAGATTCAGATCATGTCTTAGGAGTCGGAGAAGTAACAGGGATATCTTTTTAGACCCTGGTAGCAGAGGCATGTGGAGGCACTGGTAGGTGAAATGAGAAGTGTGACTGAGAGAGGACTTGCAGGGAAGGCTGTCCAGGAGGTGACGCGGGGCCCCGCTCCGCATGATCTGAGGCAGTGACCCGAGTCCTCGGAGTCCTTTCCCATCTCAGTAGTGTGACACTCCACAGTGCCACTTTTCTGGTGGAGCTGAGTTGTCCTTGGAGGACCCAGCAGCATGGAGAGGGTGGTGTTTTTTTTTTTTTTTTTCAGGAGGGAACTAAATTTAGCCTCATTCAGAACTTGCGAGTCAAGGCAGAGAAAATAGCTCTGGCTACAGGATTTGAGGCAATAAAAAGAAAAGCAGAGCTGTCGCTCTCATGTACATTCTCACTGTGTGTGTGTGTGTGTGTATTTAAATGAACTGTGGGGTACTTACCATCATGGGGATATTCCTGACCCCTGGATTTGCTGATTGTAATTAGGATGCAGGATCAATGCATCAAACTCCTGTGAGCCTATTATCTGCGTTTTCCTCTCCAGCCGGCACACATCTGCAGTGACAGCTTCATGGCCTTCCTACATAGGTGGCCTGAATCCAAGCACTGTCCCACTCCTGTAGCGATGGTCTTTTGCAGCAGCCATGGTCAATTGAAGACACTGACCATGGATCAGATGTGTGCAGAAAATGGGTCTCTTCGCTTGCTTGGCAGGAGCCTAGGACCTGTGGAAGAGGTGGGGATGAGTGTGAGCTTTTGGGTCCTCAGTACAAACTGCTGAGATGGCAATTGGCAGCTCCAAGTAGGGTGCTGGGCCAGCGTCGTTCCTCCATCTCCAGCCGATAGCAGTCGCTTCAGAGGGCGAAAGCTCCTTAAAGTGGGCAGTTAAGAATTGGCCTGCTTATAGGGACTGTTTGTTTATTTTTTTGCCAGCTCCTCTCGGTTATTGTTTGATACGTGCCCTGACACCAGAGGGTTTGTAGATATTAATGAGTAACCATGGGTGATTTAGTTACTCATACAAATATCTAGTCCTTCTCTGAATCCTATTAAATTCTTAACATCCTGTAGCAATTATCTGCATGGAATAATTTGCACAGTGTTATAACTAGCAAGAGTTTTGTTTTTATTTTAAGTAGCTGCTTTTCAGTTTCATTGGCCGTTCTCTCCAATTTTTGGTAGACTGAGTAAGTGTGCTTGACTTGCACATAATATTAAGGGACTAGAGAAGGCATCCCAGTGCCACCACACGTTAGTCTCTTCTAAACGCTAATGGCTGAAATCTTGTCCCATGCAGGTGTGGCGGTCGCTCTTTGGGTATCTCAGTATAGAGATGCTGCATTTCATCCACATCTGAAAGACCTGGAGGGAACGAAGCCAATCTTGTAGCCATTCCTTCCCAGTAACTGATTTCTGCTTCAGATTCTCCTTCCATTTAAAGAATAATGAAAGAAAAAAAAAAAGTTGTTTTGTAGGCTACGCACTATCCTGTTGCTTAAAAGAAAGCAGTTCTGGAAATAGGAAGACCTAGTTGAAATGTCTTACAGCTAATGTTTTCCTTCTCAGTTTTATTTCCAAATTACATTTGTCAGATTCCTCCTAAGCCCAGGCTGCCTAATAGAAAAGAGAAAGCAAGACTGCTTTTTCCGTGACTTGTTTTCCCCAAAGTCCATTGTTCCAGCGATAATCTGGAAACAGTTTCAGAGTAATCTGAATCTCTGTCCTGTTTTTAATGAGTCAAAACTTAAGTGTTGTATTTTGAAACCAGCTTGTTAGCTCTGTCGGGCAACTTCTGTTCTTTTTATTGTTTACAGCACCTTTTACCTCTGGAGTCCTTGTGCAGGATTAAAAGCTTACATGCTGTGATAATGCAAAGTAATTAACGATATAGCAGGAGTTGATTCTTGGAAGTGAAGTCAAAGTTCTTGTGTAATAACTCCTGCAAAAAATTAATTGATGCTTGAGGGGTCTGTGAGTTCCAGAAGGAGCCAGCTGGAAAGCAAAAGATATTTGGGGTTTGGTCTGTTCACTGTTCCCAAACTGCGAGCCATATAAGCCTCATTAGAATAGGCCAGTTTCTAAAGCGGTATGACTATTACTGAAAATAGATGAATTTCTAAAGGTCTGTTAAATGCGTGAGCTTAAGCAGGGACGAAAACAAATATTGGGACAATATATAGATGTTCAAAAATTGTATGGTATTGGTTTTCAGTCTTCTTTTACTTCCTTTTCATGACTCTGTCCCTGTATTAACTGCATTTATACCTGTGTTAGCACCATCTGCTTATCTTTAAACTTTTGCTGTGGCTCTAAGAATATATTACTGATTTCTCTTTATTTTATTGTAGGTAGAACTTCATGTCCACCTGGATGGAGCCATTAGACCAGAAACAATCTTACACTTTGGCAAGTGAGTTGTCGGGGGGGAAGCTCTAGTTAGGTCTGAATAATCGTTTGCTTCAGTGTCTCGAGCAGGGTTCCTGCACTTCTAACACACGCTTGGACAGAGTGACTAACAGGGAAAGAGACGCTCCCTGGGTTTGGCCTTGCCCAAACCCCAGTTATCACAATGTGAAACGTGTTTTGGCTAGCACGTGCTAACTGTTCAGTAAAAACACCCTATTTTCACTTGGTACATGGGACAAGCAGTCACACAGATCGCTACCTACTCCTGTGCCTTCTGTTTGTCCAGTTTGAAGCCAAGAAGTTTGTTTTGGCAGGCCACAACCGTCCTTTCCCCGTGTTCCCTGGGCTGCAAACCCGGCTGGTGGTAGTCACACTCTAATCTCTGCACAGATCGGTCCTCTGGCTGCGTGGTGTGAGCGTATTGAGCGCTTTCCAAAATACAGTGTTGCAGCTGGGCTGAACTGATAGGAGATGTGTGAACAAGCAGTGACCCAGCACAGCACTCATCGGTCCACAAGCCAGGCAAGCTAAGAGGAGCCACCCATGATGAAGGAAAAAGGTGTCACCTAAAGAGATAGCTGTCTGCCTTGGATGTGTACCCAGGAAATGGCACCGTCAGGTTTTACTTTTTTTCATTTCTTTTCCCACATTCACAACTGTAAAATTGACTGTAAAGAAAACTTCCTGGGAATGTCCTCTCGGTGGTGGTATCATACCATAGTCTTCAGAGGAAAAATTAATTCAGGTGTTCCTCTTTCACTTGCTGATTGATGGTGCATTTAAACCCCAGACTGCTACTGTGCAGCGTAGCTGTTTGTTTGATCCTAGCAGTCAAAAAGTCATGCTAGTGTGAGGGTGACCCAGGAAAGCACTCAGCAGTGACTTAAACTGAGGTTGCTCCCTTGACAGAGCCTGCATTTGCCTGCTTGCTTAAGAGTGGCTTATGTGTGGGAAGCACCAGGGTAAATGATTAACCAGTGCAAGAACCTGGTTCCACAGTTGGAAGCAAAAAGCCGCAAGTCGTCTTCTAGCAGTCAGTGTTCAACAAGCGAATGGGCACTACCGGATAGCCTCAGATCAAGAATGTGGCAAGTTTAAAGATCTCAGGAAACAGTTCTTAGGCCCAACTCTAAGGTAACTTTAGGCAAGAAGTCATTTTTGAGAAGGAAGGGAAATGGTTATGGCATCCTGCAAGTCCAGCAGACTCCAAAGCAATGTGATTCCAAGGGGGAATAATCTTTCTGAAGCTAATTCTCCGATGGTCACTGGCCATAAATTTTGCAGTGCTGTCGGAATAAGTAAGGTAGATCAGAAAAGCCAGTCTCATTTTTTGCAGGATGTCCATATGGGAAGCTGAGTAAGGATTTCTCTTGGTCATGCCCTTATTGCAGGAGTTAGCAGGCTGAAGCACCAGAGTAAAAGTCCTGATGGATGAGAGTCACCCACTGTTCTGGCTCTCTGGAGCTCTGTTCGGTCCCTGTTGCCAATGTAGGAAAAGTGCCTGTATGGCCCCCAGGAGGCCTGGGAGATGTGGGGCCCTTTGAGGGCCCCACGTTTCTCTCTTGCTTAGAACTGAAACCTTTGTGGCCTGAGTGCATGCTGTGTTCTCACATATTTTTAAATAGCCCTGGTGTCCCCCAGTGCTGCCAGCCTGCGGGTCGCGCTCCCCTGGGGTGGAGTAAGTGTGCGCACTGTTTGTGAACTCTCAATACGTGCACGCAAACCGAAAACCGATGGGGCTGTGTAGGAGACCGCCTTAACCTCAGCCTGGACACAGGAAGCTGCTTGTTGTCTATTTTTAAAGGTGAAGAGCTAAGGGTACGTTTGCCAGGTAGTGGCTGACCACATACGAATAATGTGAAGCTGTTGGGATGTGTAACTCCATGGGTGGTGGCTTAACTCTGCAGCTTTTAGAAACTTCAGCTTGAATTTGATCAGGTACGACTCCGACTTTGCACCCCCTACCTGGCATGCTGCACAAAAGTGTTTAGAGCAGCAGCAGACCAGCTTGTGGGATGGGGCTGCAGTGGGCTGAGCGTGCTCCTAGCCAATAGGCGGGGTAACTTGGGGGACAGTAGCCCCAAAAGCCACGATGGCTATGTTCATTAGAGCTCATCAGCCAGAGACCTAAATCCAGTGGCTCTGTGTGTGTGGATCATCCCAAAGGGCTGCAGCTCCCCGCTGACGATTGTGCGGCAGCTGCTCTTCAGGAAGCGTTTGAAGGAATTCGGGAAAATAGCTTTGCTAATAGGGCTCTGGGAGGAAAATTTCCCTAGGCAGGTGGAGGAGGATGTGGACGCTGTTCCTGGGACAGGCAAATAATGTGTCCCTGGGCTGCAAAGGGGAAGACAGGGAAGAAAGCCAATGCCTTGGCAACCACAGACATCTCCTACTGAGTGCCAGCAACTTAATCTCTGCTGATTGCATTTGGACGCTTGAGCGTAAGGCTGATTTCCTTCCGGCCCAAACAGGGGAGTGAGCAATGTTTGCTTAGCCCGGGAGCAGTGTCATTTGGGCTGTTTTCCTGCTGTTTGCTCCTTGGGATGGCTGCTGACGTTGGGAGGCTAAAACAGTCTGTGGTGCTTTGTCTCTGTTTGCAGAGAAGCATCCTTCAATCAACTGTAATTCATCATGGCGGGACTGGGAAGGAAAGAGGATTAGAAACCACTGTCTAGTTATTATTCCCAATTTATGTTAATAGTAATATGCAAGAAGATGGTTAGACTGGGGCAGGTTGAAGCCTGCCTCGGAAACACGCAGCGGCG